TAAATATTCCATTAAGAAAATATAATTATTCATGTAGCAGGCGTGAGAACGACTATCAAGTTTTATAACAATTTATTTTGTTTTTCACAAAATTGTATAAATATTATGTGTTATCTCGATTCACGTGAAAATCGTTTCATACATTATATTTTGTAATTTAAATTAACAAAATTTTGCAGAAAATAATTGTACTAATTTAAACAAATATTATATGGAGCAAAATTCTGTACTATTATGATAAATTAAAGCAATGAATGAACGCATATTAATCAAGGAAATATTATTTGTGACATATATGGTTTTATAATCATAAAAGCTCATGTTATTGAAGAAATGTTTATTAAACACGAGAAATATAAAAGTTTAATGCACATGAGATATATAATAATTGTTCTTAAAATACACTTTTATATGTATAGAAATTATAATGTAAAATTTTTTTTTAGAAATAATCGCTCAATATAAAATAAATATTTGATTAATTTATATAGGCTTAAAATCATATTATTTTACATTGGATCTTATTCTAAAATAAATAATTATAAAATACCTAAATGATTATATATAAACTGTAAGTGTTTATTTAAAATTCTATAAATTACTACAATTCATTTTAACAGTTTTATAAATATATTTTTCCCTGAATATGAAATTACTAAAACCTTATAGCTGATTGAATATTATTCTATTATTATAAAATTTTCATATTTTATTAATTATAATTATATATAAAACTTCAATAAACAATAATAATTAAAATAAAATAACATGCATGTTATTTTTAATAACACATATTAACCTTATGAATATTTTATATTTATCCAGAATACTTATAAAATTATATAATGCTCAAATTGTATGCTACATTAAATGTTATTCATTTATACTCAATATTAAATGAGTTTTCTATTTATATATTATCATGATTTTTTACATTATTTTATTTAATTTTATAAGAAAATATGCTTTATTTAACTTATAATTACTATTATTTTTGAATATACATAGTAATTTATAATCACAAAGTTAGAAGACATTGTAACATAAAATATATAAACAGTAAAAAGAATAATTTTTCCATTATTCATTTTATATATCCTTATTTATAAAAATAAATTTAATTCTTTTTATAAATATCATGAATTTTTTTAATTAACCATAGAAGTATATAATCCTATATGCAATGGATAATTCATTTGTGCGTTACAAATATTTTAATGTAAATTTTAATATCATAATATTTTCGTATATTATATTGTATAAATACTATATCATTGTTTCTAATTTAATGTTATTTTATTATATATGGTTGTTAATCTATGTTTAATGTAGCCTTTTGTCCATATTTCCTATATATAATGAAATTATGGACAATTATTAAAATAAAGTTAAAATTGGATACAGCTGGACTATTGAGGACACTGTATGTAAGAATAATCATCAAAAAAGCATAATAAAAAATATTAAAAGTCATGAAATCCTGGAAGAACAAGAAATAGCACTGAAGCTATGTTATATTTATATTATATTCAATCTATGCTTTATAGAACAATGGAAAAATCTAACTGCATATATCTGTATTTTTGGCTTTCTCATAATCTTAAATAAATAAATAATATGAAGGTTATCACAGAAAATTATGATAATATGCTTAAATTGTATAAATCTATGAGTACATAAATTCCAAATCATAAATGAAATAACAATAATATTCAAATTACAGAGGAACATTTACCTATCATAAAAGGTATGTATTATATTCATAATTATTCTACAAAGGGAAATAATAATGATATATATGGCGAATCATTTTTTAATAAAGTAATTACATTTAAAATAAATTATTATAAACAAATGAAAACAAAAGAAATATTAACTTGTTATACAAAAGTGACAGCTGTAACACAAACAGTAATGTACTGAAAAAATAACATTGCATTTCCTATTATAATTAAACTCTTTGTAACGTCATTAATATCTATTTTATTGTTTATTTTATATAAGGTTAAATATGTGATTATTTTTATTTGTTTATATTATAAATCATATTTTTGAATATATTAAAAATAAATAGTTTTATCTTGAAAAAAAATATATTTTTAATACATAAAATTTTTTAATATAAAGAAGTTCATATCATTTAGTTCTTATTTGAAACGTATAATGTGATATAAAAGGAATAAATGGAACTATATAGGTGAACAAAAAAATTGATTTCAAGAACCCTAAATATCTAGTAGTATAAGAAGAGATGAAGAACATTATATGTTATGTAATTATCAAGGATATTAATATTCATTATAAGGTATGAATAAATTATTAATTAACATTAATGTAAATAATTGGACAAAAATATATTAGGATATTTTTTTATGAATCACATCATATATAAGTGGAATAGTTTTTATATGGAATGAAAAAATATGCTTTAAATTATCTGTTAATTCAAAATATATCATTTCAAAATAAAAATGTTTTAAAGATAAAATTATGTTAACACATGATATAATAAATATTGAATAGAATTTCTATGAATAAATTTTAATGTTATTCTTTTATTCAATACTTTAATTTTCATTAGTAAGGTGATTCATAGGAGACAAGACACCTGTACATTTATCAATTAATTATAATAATAATTAAATTTTAATTTATTTTATAATGAATTTTCACATATTATTATTCTAAGATTAATATATACTCTGTATTTTATTATATTAATATTTCACCTTGTAGTGAATATATATTATATAAGTAAAGGTAAGTACAGACATCTAATTTTTAAATTATTTGTTTTGTTTACGTTAATTTATTTAGCTTTTCTATTAGAATTCATTTTATCATTTTTATTTTTTAATTAATTCAGAAATATTCTTAATTAATATAATGTAAACGTATATTAGTATTTATATAAATTAGCATTAAAAAAATATATACTAATTTTCATTTATAATATCTTTCATAATTATTCTTATATGCAAATAAATATATGATACGTATGGGAAAATTTAACATGGAATAAGGTTTTATATTATAAAAGGTTTAAATATATATTTATAAATAAATGAACGCAAAATATAAACTTTTATTTTATATATAACTTTTACACTCATTTTTTTAATAAATACACTAGGAATTCCTTGTGTTTTTATATATCCTATATATAAAATAGACAAAATTAATAGGTTAATTTGATTATTATCTCGTATGGTATAAGCGATATATAGAATTCTTATTATAAGTGAAATAAATATATTCAAGAAATGTAGTAAATAGTATCTTATATATATAAAAATAAATTGCGTTTCAGTATAATATACCTGTTTATTTTTTAAGTTATAGATATTACTATTTAATTCTTGAATAAATGTGCTTTCTGTATATTTTTCTGTGAAATATACATATATAATTTTTTATAATAGAGTATATAAGATGCATTTTTTAGTCATGTATTCCAGTTTATGCATAAAAAAGTGAAATATGTATTTATTTTTTTTTATTTAACCATACACAATATACTATATTAAAATTTATAATTATCTGATTCACCGTGTACAAATCCTATAGGTGCGTTTCGTACCTTAGTTATTAGTGATTATATGTCATTATATGAATACAAGTATTTTTTACATAATAATATCGTTTGCACGGTATTTATATGGGATATATTGATTATAATCAACCTCTGTGCATTAATTAAAAAAAAATTCATCTTTCATTCACTCATTGAATTTATTTGAGCCTATGCAGAATTTTCTTACTTTTATTTTATGTATAAAATTACTTATGTCTAACTAGATATTCTTTAAATTTTGATTAAATGAAACATTTTTTATATTATGATTATATAAAAATGGTTAATTCCTTTAAATACAGAAGATATATTATTATCGAAATACACAGGGAAAATAATTATATTTCAATTTTGCTAATTATACATAGATATACAATCTAAGATATAAAGGAAAACTGCAAAAATTTAATCATTAATAAATAAATGTATGATTCGGTGTTATTAGACGCAGAAGAGAAAATAAATTGGTTCCCTTAAGATTTCTATGCAGAGAAATGAATGCAAATTGTGTTTTTAATGAACTTCCGTAATAATCTATTATATCGAGTCAAAGTATCAGGATAAAATTTTAGAAAAAACAAAAAAAAACTAATTATGTTTGATAAAACATATGATTATAATTTGTTTACAAAATTTGAATAGTGGTTGCTCATATTATGTGATGAGGTATAATTATCTATAAGAATCATTAATATTGTACATAAAATTATAAAATATATACAATATAAAAATAAAATAAATTAAATATAAATTTTAGATTTTTTTTAATTTCAATATTCTGAAAAAAATAGATAATATACATTTCTATTGAAAAAAAAATTGAATTCAGAATTCATTATGGAACGAATTTGTGTAGATAAAATGATATTCTGTGATAAATAAATAAAAATTTACGATCATATTCATTGAAAAATACATGATAACTTACATATAAAAGTTAACATAAATGAAATTATTGCTTTAATTTTGTAATGGATATAATTATTTTAAATTATAAAATTTTTAGAATTTACATGTTAAAAAATAATTAAAAACGTAAAATATTATGAATAAGGTAATAACAGAAATGTAATACTCTATTAATAGTGTTATATATCTCATTACATTAATATATATACTATATTTATATTATTTATACTCTTAAATATAAATTTATAATACAAGAAATTAATGTTTAAGACGTATATGTGTTAAATAAAATATATATTTATATTTATTATTATATAAAATTACACTCCATAATCACTTATTATTAAACGATGAAGTTTATGGCATCATAATAATATAATGTACACGATATTTATATGTATATCATGTAAAATAAGATAATTTATCTTATAACATTTCTGTATATTTGTTTTATAAACGGATAACTAAATGTGAAAATATGAAAATTACTGCAAACCTTTCATTGATATAGTGATATATGAGGATTAATAAATCTGTAAATTATACATATTTACTAAAAATATTGTTCAACAAGTGTAATTTGTCCCTTTCTTTCTCGCTATAGAAGGATTATAAATATAACACATGGAAAGCTTTAAAATAACAATGTATTATTATATACAATTTTTATAATAATTGATTTATTTATTTTATTCTATCTTTATTCATAACATTAATCAAATATCCATAATGTTGTAAAATAAACTGAATACAATAATTTGAAGAAATATTATTGTAAGGAACTTATTGATAACTATTTTTTCTTCCATGATTTCATAAAGAAAAATAATAATTAATGTATATAAAAATAATTTATCATTATTTCAATAAATATAATGAGTAATAAGAACTTGAGGTAATATTAAGAAAATTTTATATTCTTATATAAATTTTATTATTTAATTTCGCAATTGAATTATATATTATTAAATAAACAATATGTTTACTTCTATTTTTAACTTATATTTTTCAATATATCTATAAATTTATAAACGGTTACAATGTTTTTATGATATAATATATTGTTTAAAAAATAAATATAGTAAATTGTACACTTCACTTAAGATAATAAAATTTCATTACTATTTTATATATTTTATTCTGCACATATAAATCTAATATATATCTTTAACAATGCCCAATGTAATATTAATTATTCATTTTATTAATTAATAATTCGTTTATATTTATTATAATACAGTGAAATTCCTATAAACTTAATATATTATATGTATTTATACTTTGAAATATTCATATATTCTATATTATTTATTTTTACTGACGATTTTTCATTAGTTGCCAAATAAAGATCAAATATACGGAATCCTACTTGATATAAATCATGATTTTGAAAATGAAATACAATATGATAATACAGGTGTGTCATCAACTAATGATCCGGTATTACGAAATATAGCCTTATATATTTCAAAAATTTATAACCATTTTAATGTTCTTTGTTCGATACATTCATATCCTAAAGAAGATTGTAAGGATATATGTAAATATATAAACAAATGGTTAAACCAAAAAAAATCCATTTATACATGTGATAATCAATGCAATTTTAACAAAACACTATGGGATAAATATATTGAAGAGTTATGGAATAGCTTAGTGAAGAAAGATGAGGGCATTGAATGGTGCTCTAGAGATAATGAAGTAAATACAAATGCATTTCCCACAAAGATGATTCCGAATAGTTGTTATAAAAATGCTCCCACTGAATTCTCTATTAGCTGTGTGGACAATGAAGTCGTTCGAATAGTTGAAAGGGTGACAGAATGTCCCATTCATGATGCTTCGATAGACGAAATCTCAACTAGGTTGTCAACAAAATCTACAATGATTGCTTCAGTGGGCTACATACTTTTTGTAATGGTTGTAATTGTTTTTTCATTTTATAAAGTAAAAAAAATATTACTTTAAAACTACGACTGAATTGAGTGTATATTAATTCTTAATGTCTAATATTCACCTTATAATAGTAAATATTTATTACTTCATGGTTTAATATAATCATTCATTTACAGTTTAGTCCCGTTAAAAGCAATTATTACAGAATAATCGAACGGATTAAAGGATTTGGTAAGAGTAAGAATGAGAAAGAAATTCAATGCAATTTCAAAAATTGGGGTACTTCTCAAATGTTTTCAGAAAATGATAATTGCAAATTACATTATAATAACAGCGTAATATAAAAATATTTCTAGATGAATTTAAAAAATAAGGAAGTAGGAGAATAAAATCATCCGAAAAAAGTACATATAATATAGGATGAATATAAATTAATTAGTTTAGTAAATTAACATATAGATCCTAGTATTATATTTTTATAAGAATTTATAATTCAATTATATATGTTATTTATATATATATGCTTAAGATTAATTTTTATTTTACATTAATTTTAACTGTTAATATTTTAAAATGTGTATTATTAGATAAATCATGCCATAAAAAAGTATATTCATGTAAATTAATTTAAACAATGAACCAGAAGAAGTATATTTAGGTTAATAAATTTATTATCGTATATAAAAGTAAAATTGAGAAAATCCATATAAATATATTTTATTTCTAGCCTTAAAAGGAAGAGGAATGTATAAGGATTTCAACGGAATTTATTGACACACACGTTTAGAATATTTATATATTGAAGCATTATTTACATGGTTCCCAACATTAACACTTTAATATAAAAATAGTTATCTCCACTATTATATATTAAACAAAATGACATATAATTAACTTTGCAGAAATAATATTGGCTAATAAAATTTGTTTTATTATTCATATGTAATTGTTCAGCTTGTTATACATATTCTTCAATAATAAAATTCATTTTTATGATTGCCTGCTTTATTACAAATTTTAAGAATTACGGATTTATTTATTTTTTACTCTTGATATTTTTAATGCATACGTTTCTTTTCATTGTTAAATTCTTATATTTTATGAATTCATGATATATATCCTTTTGCTTATATGTTAAACTAATGGTATTTATATAATATCTTCGTGATTCTTCATTTAGTTTTCATATTTAAATGTAATTATCGTTTTTCATAGATATTATACAATATTTATATTTATGTATATATTTATTTCGTTTCTTGTTATATGTTTAATTTTTTGTTTTTTTTAACAATCTGGATAATGTATTACCATAGCACATTATATATATTAAATTTAATAATTCTAGTAACTGTATCTTGTTTTTATTTTTCTTATATATATGTGATTACAGAATAAATATATTATAGATAATATTAGCAACATATATTAATATTATAAAGAAATTCGAAGCAATTTTTTATTACATATTTATTGACGCACATATTTTTATTTATTTTCCTTTATTATATATATGTAATAGTATAAATAATTATATATATGATG